GGACAACAGGAGAAAGTTTCATTACTGACTCTACATTCTAATCAATAGGCTTTAGACATATTGTGGAAGGCAGTAAAGGGTTCTATGCAAAATAGTGCTTGAAGATCTGATATCCTTCAGCCCGATGCTAATTGCACCGATAGAGCTAACTTAATATTAAGCAGTTGTGGAGAGATATAGTCGTGGCCCCCCTAGATCAGACCGTGCCCACCAGTTGAAAGTGAAGTAATTGCTGGCTTCCTCGATGTTAGTGAGAGCCCAGTCCCTGAGCAAATGGATCCTGCAGGCAGGGGAAGCCCCCTGCCTGTAAACACCGAACACACGCTGGAGGGAGCAGGAAGCAGGCTGTGGTCACTGTGCACCGGTCTCCTGCTCCCCCAGCAGAAACAAAGGGGAGAATTCCTGCAGGCTGGAGAATGGTTCCTCCTACACAGCACTAGCACAGGTATGGCCCACATGGAGCCTAAGCTGGTTAATTATTTTGTGTATGTTTGTGTGTGTGTAAAAAGTGTGACTGTAAACTGGTGTGAGTGACATTGTGTGTGTATTTCAGCAAAAGTGTGTGTTAGTGAGAGAGTATGTGAGTGACATTGCGTGTGTATTTCAGCAAGGGTGTGTGTGTTATTGAGTGTGTCAGTGACATTGTGCGAATTTCAGTAAGAGTGTGTGTTATTCAGTGTGTCAGTGACATTGTGTGTATTATTGAGTGGGTCAGTGGCATTGTATGTTTACTTAATAACAGTGTGTGTTAGTGAGAGTGTGTGATATTGTGTGTATACTTTACAGTGTGTGTTAGTGAGAGTGTGTGACGTGTGTATACTTAACAGTTTGTGTTAGTGAGAGTGTGTGGCATTGTGTGTATACTTAATAACAGTGTGTGTTAGTGAGAGTGTCAGTGGCATTGTGTGTATAATTAATAACAGTGTGTGTTAGTGAGAGTGTGTTACATTGTGTGTATACTTAAAAGTGTTAGTATTAATGTGTATACTTAATAATAGTGTGTGTTAGTGAGAGTAGAGAGGAACAAGTATTGCGGCCAGCGGCCTGTGCCACATCTAGGTTCTAAGTAAAGTGAATTGATTGCAGTGTTTATAGTGAGTGGTATGAGTGTGATAAAAGTGACTTACCCCTGATTGCAGACAGTGAGTGGCATGACAGTGACACTTACTCCTGTGATTGCAGACAGTGGTGTGACAGTGTCAACTTACCGGAGATTGCAGAAAGTTTGCAGTGCGGCCCCATGTTAGGTGTGAAACCTTACCTACCTCAGAGTGCAGTTTCCTGGTCATAGGCAATGGCAGCACAAAGATCCCGCCCAGGGATATTGCTGGAAATAAGATTGAGGATTTGAGGGGTAGGAGGGGTTACCTATACCTTCTGTCTAATTAGGCCTGTGACCAGGAAAGAAAATTAGGAATATTTTTCCTTTATAGTATTATATATATATTAAAGGAACACTATAGGCACCCAGACCACGTCAGTTCATTGAAGTGG